CTTCTTAAGATGCTTTCCAATCCAGGCACTTTTGAGGCTGCAAATTAAACCCGGATACAAATTGGTCCTTGAAAGTAAACCTTCACCTTAAACTATATCATGCACATCCCTCAGCACTAGCTGCACTAAAAGTCTCATATCCAACTTAGATCATTTGACATTGAATGATTTCTGGTTAATTGCGCAGGCGATTGGAGCTCAGAGAGGATAGATCTTTCCGCTTTTATTTCAACTTTTCTTTGTATCCTTAGGATAAAATAATCTTTTTTTACTGAAGTTGAAGAAGCAGCTCGTGCTGCAGGTGATTAGATTTAGAGCCTTGGTAAAATGTTTAGGAAAGACTATCCCGCTGTCAACAGTGTGCACTAAATTGTGATTTTGAACTTGAATACTAACTAAAGCTTTAGCGCTGTGGTATCCACTCAGACACCTCCATTAGAGCAGTTAAGACCCATTGCACCGCCGATTCGTGAGCAGAAACCAGAGCCAACACTGGAATTCCGACCAGCTCCGGAATCTGTAGTTCCATTCAGAGCTGCTGGTATTCCAAACAGCATTCAGCCGTCTGCAAAGCTGTCAGTAAGCGAAGACGTCGCAGAAGATGACAAGGTAAGCTCATTAATTTATAACATGCACAACAAATCTATTTTGTATTCATTTTGAGGTCTGGGTTGGTATCATGCAGCAGGCGGTGGCTAGGTGTGGGCAGCAACCAGAGTTATTGGCTGCAAATGTTCGAGCTGTAGTGGAAGGTACAGATGTGCGAAGCGCAACTGATTTACGAAACTCTAAAATTCCAAATATTCAGAGGCAATGAGCATCTCCTTAAAACTTATTTCTGATGATCGTTACAACAGTATAGAGGAAGAGGTGGAAGCTCATAAGGATGTAATTGGTACTCGAGAAAGGTATGCTCTTTGTAAAAGCTTTGATCAAACATCATTAATTTCTAATTTCTAGAGCATGGGAGAACGCTAAATCGAAATTCATCCAACCTCTCTTCCAAAAATATCGT